GCACTTGATAATGAAGAGGGTGATGGAGAATAATGGAAGGTGCATTAAAAACAAAGCGATGCAGAGAGAGAGAGGTATAATTACCGAAGCCATTGGTGAATATAAATATCAAAGACCTCGTATGCTGCATCGGCAGAGGGAAGGGGAAGATTGGTGCAGTTGCGGGTGGGGGACGAAAAGGGAGGGAGGGGAACGACGTTCGATAGAGACGGGGAAAGCGGGCGCGGGCTTGAAGCAAGATCGGCAAAAATATCGGCCCTTCAGCCTAAAAGGGTCCTCAATTTATTATTTTTTAATAAATGAATATTTAAATTTTATAATTTTAGATTGATTGTAATTTAATAATTAAGTTTGGGTTTGAATGTATAAATCTTCGTCACGAGTTGGAAGTAGTTACACAGGACCTCTTATTTTCAAAAAATTAAAATGAACTTTTTAATAGTTTGAATTTTTTGATATCAGATTTTCCTAATTATTTTTTAGCCATTTTACTAATAAAAATTATCATATTATATTAAAAAAAAAGACGCAACAGTTTATGGGGCATCCAAAGTAGGCTAGTAATAACAAAAAAAAAATACATGGATAAAATTTTTAAATATCATTATTAACTTATATTGAATGCAACATAAGTTATTAGTGTCTATTTTAACGTGATATAATAACTTCTATTAGGTTTAAAAGTTACTTTTTTTTCGTTAAAAATGTAAGGTATTTTTTGAGAAATTAAATGTTTAAAAATATAAAGCATTTCTTTCAAGGTATAATTATTATTATTTTTTTTAATATCTTACATTTTTTTAATAAAGGGAGTAAAAAAATAAAAATAAAAGAAGTGTGTTAGGAAATAAAAAAAGGTTTGAATTTTATATTTTATCCTAAAGTTTGAATTTCTATAAATTAAAATTAAAATGTTAATGGATTCAAGGAATGAAGGGTGCTAGGGGAGGGTCCTCCCCTTCCCTCTTGCGATTTGAATTGTTTAAATTTAATTTAAATAATTTAAGTTTATAAGTTTTTTTATTTTTATTTATATAAATTATTAATAAATTTGCTATATTATTGTTTTAAATAATTTAAATTTAATATAGATGGTTCAAATTTATATTAAAAATAAAAATAATCTTCTAACATGTATTTTTTGAAAATATTTTTTAAAAGAATTGTAGTTAAAGATTTTTAATATGAATTGGTCAAAGTATTTTTGTATAATTAATTTATAAAAATTATAAAATATCGACGCCTTGATCAAAAAAAAAACTAGATCGATCCCGCGCTCACTTTTCGTAGGTCTTGCCTTGCCACGAGGGGATCTGTGGCTCCTGCGCCATGAACATCGACGGTTGCAAGGACTTACTTTGCTTGACTAAGATACCTCCTGGAAATCCCTCCACGACTACTCCACTACCCCATATGTTTGTGATCAAGGATCTGGTGGTGGATATGAACAATTTCTACAATCAATACAAGAGTGTTGAACCGTGGCTGAAGAGGAAGAACTCACCTCCCGTGCCAGAGCAAAAAAAGACAGGGCTAAGCTTGATGGGATGTACGAGTGCATATTGTGCGCATGCTGTAGCACATCATGCCCCAGTTACTGGTGGAATCCTGAGTCCTATCTCGGTCCCGCCGCTTTACTCCAGGCTAACAGGTAACGGCTGCTTTAACGCTTTGACCATTCTTAAGTCAACGGGCACGCAATGTGCTATGCTATAATCGCTTTAAGTCTATAAGCGACGCGGTATACTATTGTTCTATCCCATGAATTGTCTGTTCCATGTTATATGGATTTTATTGTGTTGTTTACGAGCTTGACGTTAGGTTGCTTGATGTATGCTGCTAGTCGAGGTTCTCATTGGTCAAGTGCGC